TTAAAGCCCCTGGAGCGTCTCGTGTATCAGTGTCCCTGCACTGAAAAATGGCAGCAGAGGTGCTTTAATTAAAGCTTGTTGAATGAGGTTTAATTAAAACGCCCCGCCACCATTTCTCAGTGCGGGGACACTAATACATGAGACACCGGAGTCTGCTGGAGTGTGGTAATTACCACACTGCAGCATAATGACTATGAAAGCTTGGACATGAAATACAAAATGACAGTGCTTCTTGCACAAAAATGCAAGACAGTGGCTGGGGCAACGTATGGGGCTGGGGCAAAGCAAGACAGTGGCTGGGGCTGGGGGTGTGGTAAAAAGCCTGCCACAAAAAGAATCAAACTCTGTTGATTGCTGCAATCTATTAGGCACAGAGAAAGTGGTACCTAATACCAGACTCATGCCATAAGATGATAACAGTCATGATAATAGTCCTCAACCTTCTACCACACCTGAGCCTAAAAAATAAAAGTTATGGTTAAAATTATTGGCAGAGACCTGACACACTCATTATATCCATATAACAAGACTCCAAGAACAACCTAGAAAGCCAAATGGCCTAGAGAGAAACCTACAAACTTCATATACATCTCAATTGATCTAAGTGTCACAAAAGGAAATGAAAGAACTAAAATATCCACTTCAAAGCAAAGCCTGTAGGAGACAAGGAGACACAGTGCACTGAAAACATGACTGTAAATATATCCTGGTTAACACATTTCCCCTTTGATTATGGCATATTTCCCAAAACAAACATGCAATATCTGTCTAAAGTTTTCTAAATCAGTCTATATGACTGTATCTAGTCTACCTACTTCACACCTATTGTCCTCAGTGGCCTCTGATCCTAACTGCCTTACATTTGCATTCATGAATTAAAGCATATTTCTCAAAATAGGCAGTCAATCTCTAAACGTTTATTATGCCAAACCAGTATATTCTTCTGAAACTCACACCTGTTGTATCCAATGGCCTCTGATCTTCACTATCTCCGTAAGCCATTTGACACAGCTATTTTATTAGGCTCCATTGTTAAAATAACTACTGAAAGATAGTATTCTGTGATTAACTTCCTAAAGGTACCTCATTCGATCAGTACCCATCCCATTTGATTCCAAACTGATCAAAAGCTTGCAAACTTCACAAACACACAAACAAGATACAATTGTAATATGTTAATCTGTCCTTGCCTGTTCTGTTCAGACTTTGATAACCAACTATCAAGAAGGAATGCTTTGAAGCTATACAATTAAAACAGACTAAAAAGCAAGACAGAACTGCCAGCAAGGCGTGCAATCCAGGGAAGATCAAGAAGCCATCCTGCATCCAGCCCATGAGTAAAGGACCCACACTCTGGGAAGCTGTACAAGAACTGCTTCCTGCCTGCTTGGGTAGAAATCTCTTGCAGCTAAAATAATACAAGGACTGTAATAGCTAATTTATTGAATATTAAGAAAAAATCTTTTGTTTTTCTGTCCTTTAGTTTTATAGCTTGTTGGTAGTTACTAAACCAAGTATTTCTGCTATTAATCAACCGAGTGCTGTGTCAATTCTTAAAGCACTAGGTTTAGAAATTCAATTTCTAAGTGCAACCCAGCAGACTCGACTAATTGTGTTGGAGCAGCTTCGCTGCACATGTATAAGCACCCATTATGCCTTTATATTCTATGTAACCTGTCATGAGAGAGAATGTCAACTTTTAGTCTCCATTAAGTATGCACAGACATCTTAAATCGACCACTAAGAAGAACTCCATAATGAAAAAATTGTGTTGCCAACAACCTCAAGCATGTGTTCTTTCTTTAACTTGAGAACATATTCACAAATGTCACCTGCAACAATTTAGTCCTCTTGCCTCCAACAGTAGTGCTGTCATTCCTTTTTTCTTAGTAGTAATTCTTAAGATTTTTCAAATGTAAACAATAAATTCATGACATGCCTCTTTGTAGCATCCCCATCACTGGTGATGCGTAGGGGGTTCATGCGGGTGCATGTGCACCCCGACCGTAGCAGTGCACCCCCTGTGAAAAGGCACCACAGACACTGCTGGCAGCACTTGTGGGTGGTTGCCGCTTACCACCCTCCCCCCTTCACCGCTGACACCACTGGTGGCATCTGCGAGCAGTCTGCAATCACTGATGGCCGCTGCTGCTGGTGGTGCCTGCGGGTGGTCGCTGACCGCTGGTCAGCACTTGCCACCGCCCCACCAACAGCGCTGCTGCTGCCTGCGGGAGCTCGCCATGCCCCCCTCCAGCCTCCAGGGGTACATGGCGTTCATGATCCCCATTATTACAGATAAATATATTCAGACAAAAAGTTGTCAATGACTTGCCCAAAACTGCAAAGTTTGCTGCTGGAATTGGAGCCCAAGAGATTCCTAGTTCTGAACTCGTCTTAAGTACTCTAAATTCCCTATATCCACATGTAGTCAAAATTTAAACCTCCCTCTCTTTTTCCCCTCCTTTCCTATCCCAGTACAAAAAATGCCAGAAGCCCTGCAGCTGTTGCTAACCTTCTACTGTTTAGGATTAGTATGTCATCTGAAGTGGCACCCTGGACAAATTTAACAAATTTGGCAGCAATACTGGAAGCAGAATTACTGATTCCCAAAACTAATTGTGGGGGAAAAAACCCCCGACAGCAAAGAGATGGGATGTTAGGCCTGTAGACTGAGAAAAAATATCCTTTATGAGGGGCTAACAGAAGCTCTAGTCATTTTCTGTTTGGATTTGGCTGAAGGAATAACGATGAATTATTTTGGTTGCTAAGCATGTGTTTGGTGAAAGAGCACTGGAAGTCTGTGCTGTCTGCCAGATGAAAAAATACCTCACTTTTAGTATGTATGCCTTCAAGCATATACCAGATGATTGCATCAACCAACTCACCAATGAATACTTAAAGGGAACAGTTAAAAAAAATTCTTCCAAAATATCAGCTTTCTAAAAACATATCCTCCAAAATGCTTCTAGGCATAGCTGCCTGAAGGAGAAATACAGGGAAGTGTTTCAGTAATATTATCTTGTAATCCTCACGTTTTCCTCATTTACTGAGCAAAGCAAGGGGCATTCAAGTCCAAAATAGATTTTAGATCAAAAATCCTGTGTTAGATTGTGCCCAGAAGCAGCCTTACATTACATAGATTGCCACCCAGGTGGAAGTATTAGTCCCAGTATAGCTCTAAAATACAGTTGGCAGCTCTACTGCAGGCTGTTTTAAACAGTCATATTTGATGCAGACTTTCCACAGGGACTTTCCTCCTTTCTTCATTATATACTTTGCAACATATACAGAAGTCATCCAAGTTTCGAGTTAATGTTTTCAGCGCTATCATTATCACCCACTTCTTCCTCCAGAGACAAATGACTCATCCCTAAACATTTTCGGTAAAGAAACTTTTACAATTCAATGTGCAGCTTTCATTTAGGAACAATGTAATCAAGTAGGCTTTGCAATTGGAAATAAACATTTAAATTAGAATAGCACATTGTTTTAGAAATGGTCCTAGGAAAGAACAGTAATTCTCTGTACCCCAGTTAGTTTATATTATGGAATAAATAGGTTAAAAACAACAAAAACTGGCTCCATAGCTCAGTGGTTAGAGTGGGTCGTGAGTTCAAGCCTCACTGGAGCCTTAGCCCCTTCCTTTAGGGCTGGACCTGATGATCTTATGAGGTCTCCTCCAGCCCTAGTGTTCTGTGAAAGTGGGGTATGAAATTGTAATAATATACAGCAACTATTTCCACCAGAGAATAACATACAGCAATTATTTCCAGCACAGGAGGCCAACCTCAGCTGGCTTGGGAAGCCCCTGTATTGCTGGTGGCAGGCAGCAGAAAGCAGAGCAGGGATAAAGGAAGGGGTTGGGGTCTTCCTCCTTGTTGCGTCTCCAGTCCAGCTTTTCTGTCCCATCTGTTCTCAGTAGTCTGCACGGGCCACTGCTTCCGGTGTTGGTGTTGCCAGATCGTGTGAGGCGTATGGTGGTGCTAGCTGGCATCTCAGATGATCCATGGTTTGCTTCTCCTGACAAACACATGCATACAGGCCACGTGATTTCATGAGAAAGTTGCATCTTCCCAGACCCACTCTCAAGCTGTTCAGGCCATGAACGCCATGTGCCCCGGGAGGCTGGGGGAGCACAGCGAGCTCCTGCAGGCGGCAATGGCAGTGTTGGCAGCGGCAAGCTCCCGCAGGAGGCCGCAGCGGAGCGCCAACCAGCGGTCAGTTACCACCTGCAGATGCTGCCAGCAGCGCCAGCAACTGGGGACGCCCCGCAGACCAGCAGCCAGGGGGCAGCGGGTGTAGAGCAATGACCGCCCACAGGCGCCAGGGGTGCACCGCCGATCTCAGGGGGTGCACGTGCACCCTCGACGCGTTGCCCATGGTTCAGACTCGGTGTGTGCGGGTGGGAGTGGCACTGAGGGAGGGTAGAGCCAAGTACCATAAACACTTCTCCCAACTTTCACCAGGTATTTCGCTACAGCCGCCGCGCACAACAGTTGGAAGAGAATGGAATTGTTAAGCACACAATAGCACGCCCAGGAGAGCGGGACTTAAGAATGAATGAAAATGGAAACAGAATAAAAATGGACTAGAATAAGAAAGATTAAAAACCATTACAAAACCCAGCCCCGAGGTCTCTCATACTGTTTCTGGCGGGGCAGGAGCTCACTTTCAGACACTGGGGAGGGACACGGGGTGGACTGGAGCCTGCACTGCGACACAAGCACCTTGCTCAGCAGCAGGACAGGCGCCGAACTCCCCTGCGGAGGCGGCTGCAGCGAGGGACGGGGAAGGTGCTTGTGCCACGAGCCCGCGGCTAAGCGGGAGCAGCCCTAAAGCAGGACCACGAAGAGCCGGTCCCCAACTGCCACTGAGCGGCCGTTACCGGGAGGGGGCGGGGCCGAGCAGCAGTTCCGAGCACGCGCCGTTGAGGCGCTCAGCCAATGGCGTGGCAGTATGAGGGCGGGGCAGGAGACGGAGCCTCGCTGCAGCTGTGACGCAAGCGCGCCCCTTTGTACGTGTCGCGGGCTGCGGCCGGGCGGGGCGGGTGTAGGTGTCGCGTGTTCCTGCGGCTGCCTGAGCTGCGGCTCGTCCGCTGGGGCCGGGAGCATGTCCTCGAGCCGGGCCAAGAAAGTGAAGATGGCCACGAAGTCCTGCCCGGACTGCGACCAGCAGGTGGGAGCCCCGCGCGCGGCCAGCGGTGACACTGCTCGGGTCGGTCGGCAAGGTGCAGCCCCCCCGGGCTCGAGCTGCCCTCGGGCCCGTCGCACCGGGGCGGCAGCGGCTTGCGGGGGCAGGCGACCCCGGAGCGCTCAGGCAGGAGCTGGGGCTCCGGCCCGGCGGGCTCTCCCCGCGCTCGGCAGTGGCCCCCTGTGCTCGTGGGCTCAGCGAGTGGAAACGAAGAGCCGGCGTTGTCTGAGCCTCAGATGGGTGAGAGCCACTGCTCTCGCCTGTCAGTCCCTCCTTCAAGCGCCCGGCTGCGAGCCTGCTCCGTGGCAGGATGCAGAAGAGGTGCTGTGTCCTCATACTGACCTTTAACTCCGTGGGGCTGCAGCCTCTGGCTGTGCCCCCTTGCACAGCAGCTGCTTTGCAGGATGCCGTCCAGTCCCGGTCCCACCAGTCAAAGTCCCTAGATGACCTGTGGCAGTCCCCTCGAGCCCCCCTTCTGTGTGGTTCTGCGATGATTATAGACTTACCCTGTCCGACTTAATGCTCCTGGTCTTAGCTCTTTAGTTCCCGAGAAGCCTGGTCACCTCCGATTCCTCCCCCCTGCCTGCGTTACGGCACCAAATGTGAAAATGCTGCCGGGTTAATTCAGGAAGCTGTTCCTTGGGGCTGGTGTATTTGGCTCTGACAAAAAGGGAAACAAATTTCCTGAGTTGGAAGTAATCTTTTTTTCTAAACTGTGCTTAACTACTGCGCAGCCGTTGCCTCCCTGCCTTTGTCTGGTATGTGGTTTAAGTGTTATATAGCTTATGTCATGTCACTACAAAAATGCGGTATGCGGAAGCATTTTTGTTAGAAACTCCCGATTTGATTATTTGCACTTAAGAGGTATTTGGTGACTCGTAAATAGTTGCTTAATTAATTTGTAACCATCTTTGCCCTGTGGTGACTTAATACTCCCAAGGGTGTGATGTGCAGACAATAAAAATCAGTTGTTTTCTCCTCCGTGCTCCCGTATGCTAGCAGCTAGATGCAGAAATTCATCAGAATGTCTATTGTGGGATGAACCAAGGTATGTAGGATTTTGGGGAGCTACCCCAAGGATGGGTCAATGTTACTGCTATAGCGAAGGTTGTACGCGTACCCCTGGGGGTACTTGAGAAGGCCCTACGGGGTACGCGCAGGTTGGCAGAGACATAGTGCTGTCACACAGCATCCTGCGCTGCTGCACAGGCGCCACCTGGCCAGCCAGACACTAGGGATGGGGGAAGCTCATGTGTGGTGGCTGCCGTCACTTCAGTTTTGGCCGCATGTCCCCCCTGCTCCGTGCCCTGCTGCCAGTGGTACACTGATCCAAAAAGGTTGAAAACCCCTGTGCTCTATTGCGCTGTGTGTGTGAACAGCATCAGAGTTGATTTGGGCTTTGTACAGATGTTCATTTCTACTAGAAGAAATTTCTTCCAGTAGAGAAACAGCCTGGGAGCTAGACTGTACAAATCCTCCTCTAGCCCAGTGATTTTGAACTGAGGTGCCTTGAGAGCCTTTTGAGGGCTCAGCAGGGTACTGTGTTATGTTAGCGCTGTTAGGTGTCTAAACAGGATTCATCAGATAAACCCAGAGATCTTAAATGGGAATTTGAAGTGTTAAAAATTTTTTTAAGCTCCCTGCAGCAAAAGAATTGTTCTGTTACTTTTCTGTAGTCAAATAATGAGCGAAAACTTAAGAGCTGGCATTTTCCAAGCCATGTCTTGAGTCTAACAAGAGGTATCTTGATTCTAAAAAGGCTGAGAACCACTCCACTAGCCCCATGCCTGGAGAGCTTCACAGGCAAGCTCTTTAGCCATGGATCCCTAGAGGGCTGTAACCTGGCCCCCACCCTGCCCTTAGGGGGAGCCCATAATTGACAGCCTACCCTCTTCCTGCCTGGGAAGGGGGCAGGTTGTCACGTGGCAACAGGCAGTAGTTGAAAAGCAGCAGCTGCTACAGACAGTTGGGGATGATTTCTACCCTGGGAGAATACCCCTGCATCAGTCAGCTGTTTGGCAAGAGAGGGTTCCCATGAGAGAATAGTCCTGCTCCTCAGGCTCCTTCAGGCTGACCTGGAGGGGTGCAGGGAAAGGGAAGGCAGACAAGGTTCTTTGGGTGAATCTGATATCTTTTATTAGACCATCTTAAATAGTTGGGGGAGAAAAAATTCTTAGCAAGCTTTTGGGTTTAAAAACCCATTGTCGGGGAGGGGGAAGGAGCCCTCAACTGCTCTGGGAGCCTTTCCACATCTTTGCTTCTCCTGGTCTCCATGAAGTATTCTGGTGAAAGTGTATAGACGTTCAGTCTCCTGGAAGCAGTTTAATCCTGGTTGTTGCCAGGTTATTTTTTTTCCTGGAGAGGCCATTTTTGCTTCGGGACAAAAACCTTGGATATTGGTATATTTGGGGTTTCTACTGGGACAATGGCATTCCTCCCAGTAGAAACTAAGCATCTGTACCTGGCTGTAAGGGTTTAAAACAAATGTATTGGTTTATTACCATTGTATTTCAACGTTTTTTGTATTTATACAGTTTATGTTTTACATTGCTAATTCTGAGGAATGCAAAATGACTGCTTAGTTTAATTCTTAGTTTTGTCTGCTGGGCTAATTGGTTCAATGCTGCAAGAAAATAGTTCAATAATTTAATTGAAAATATTTCTATTAAGTGTGGAACCTTGAAAATCTTTGACAATTTTATATTTTGGTTTTATATTATCTTGCAGTGTCTCATTAAAACAAAATTTCAAAAATATTTTTTATATTGTATTTTGATATTTACTTACTTGTTTTTCTCTGGCTGCTTATTCTGCCTGACAATTTTAAAGCATTCCTATATATTCTTAAACCTTGTTTGGAATGGTAGGCTTTCATATTTTTTGTTCGTATGCTTCATATTTGTAGTAGTATACTCACCATTGCAAATGCTGACATGTTCAGCTTGTCAAAAAGGATCGTCTTGGGGAAAATAAAAGTAATATGCCAAGCTTTCATTTTCTGACTGACAAAAGAACAAATTAAAATGAGTAAGAGGCATTTTAGTATACTTTTTGTTTTGTTTTGACACACTTCAGACTAAAAAAAAAAAAATTCTAATAATGCTGCAAGTAAGTAAATGTTGTGGCAACCATTGGTTCTCCTGGATCATGATGTATGCATGAGGGCCACCCAGACCTTCAGTGCATATGCCTGGGCAGGAATTTTTGAGTGGAGGCTACCCAGACCTTCCATCCTCTCTTTAGGCCACTAAGACAGAATCCAAAGCAAAGACCAGACTGAGTCCAGATGTTTGGTGCCTCCATGACTGTAGTTGTATGTGTCTGGTAACCCGTGTGGTAGACAAGGATTCTACCACTGAACCACAGGAGACTCCTAAGTAAATGTTGTAGGTTTAAACAAAGAAAGCAACTGTAGATAACTCTTTAAGCAGCAGAATTAGGTTAAATAGTATGAGTGTGGCTGCATATTATTTTTGTTGTAGCAGCTCTTCCTCCTGTTGAGATATATGCATGCAGTTCTATGGTATGGACCAGTAGAGGGTCTCATGGTATACCTGTTTCTTCTTTAGTGTTTAGGAACCCCTACACCAAGTGCTTTTGCAAAGCAAAAACTAAAATCTTACACTTTCGCAATTAATACCTGCAGCTTCCTATGCAAATGGATGGTGATTTAACACCAGATACTCCTCTTTGGTGACAGTCATCCCTTGTATAAAGCATCAGGAAGTTTTAATGTAATTTGCTAGTAGTCATGCTGTTCTACATAGGTCTCAACTGCTGTTGTAACAGCGAGGTTGGTGTGCATGTTTAGAATTTGGTGATAGCAGTTTGCATGGAAATAGATGTGACATGCTGCTTTCTGGTGTCACTGAAATATTTAGGTTTTTGGGGGGGAGGGGGGGGCAACAAAAAATTCTACATACTAAAGCAAACCAAAATGCTTGATAATAGGAAGCAAAAATGTTTTTCCTTATGTTTTATTTTCTGTTAGGTGATCTCTATCATGAAAATCTTCAACAGAATATGAGGATGCAAAGGCTTACTGAATTTACAGGATTTAACCTATTTTGCACTATCTACAGTGCACCACTACCTGTAGTGTACATTTAATTGAAGGGCGTCGGAATGTAGTTCTTCCCTGAACCCTGACTGTATGAATGGCATCTAGCTTTTCTCCTTGTATTCAAAAGTCTGTTATAATTTTCTCCTTTCCAAAAATAAGCTTTTTGAGAAGCAAGCTTGAAGCTGTAGTTCTCAGAAAGATAGGAGTGCTTCAAAACAAGTTACAAAGGAAAAACAGTTACCTTAGCTATAGTTTTAAATATTTCTAAAAAGCAGTTTGATATAATACTGTATATCTTTGTGTTGTCAGACATGCAGTCTACTGAATATAAATAGTCTCCAAAATTTTTGTAAGATGACATTTTGGGAAGGGATGGACCTAATGTACGAAAAGGCTTTACTATTAAACTTACATGAGTGATTTAAACATTGAACTTAATTTTGAAAATATTTATCTGATTTCTTAATTGTGACACTGAAGATTACCTAAACTATTTTTAAGTCTGTTCCTGACCTGTGTTATATGTGTAGTTTCCCTTTATTTATGTGGGTGTTTCACACACTAAGATGCAGAGAAATGTTTTTGTTAACACGTGAATGTGAAAGTCACAGAAGTGTCAGACCTTGTAGTAGAGATGAGATCTTTTATTAGACCAACACATTTTTTGCAAAAAAAATTCTTTAATAAATGTCAGAGGCATTTGTGCAGGGGTGTAGGTTGTACATTTGTATAATTTTAGCAAAGGAAACTACCCTAACCTCTTTGAAATTGTCTAGGTTTCAGGTTGACATACCTTCAACTGCCTTTTCACACATATAACTAGGTAGTTTCTGACCCATCTTCTGTAAATGTAAAGCTTCCATTACAGACTGGTATCTCATACCAAAACAGCAAATATTAATTGTGTTCAGGTGACAAAATCTTTAGACCCAATGGCTTTAAAGAGGGCACTGTTCTTAAGCACTCGGAACTCTTATATTTAAAGCAGCGATTAAATCTTAGTTATTAGATATCAATTTCATGAGGTAGTGCCCAAGAATATAGCAAGGTGAATTTTCACTGTCTATTTTAATTAAACCAAATAGTCATTTATGTAAGTTCTTCAAAAAGACAAATTCTCTGTTCTTTTTGATGATGCTACAGCATTTAATGATCCCATTTGGTGCTAGCAAATGAACAATGAGATTTAATAATAGCTAAAACCTAGCACTTTTTTTTTTAAAGCTGAGGCAGAACTAGATGAGGCTTGTCTAGCTGAGTTAGTCCTTGCCCAGGAAAAACTATTTTTAATCTTCCAGGATAGCACTACAGAGAATGTACATTTAAAATTATGTGCATTTGCTTTAATATAAAATGCACATGTTATTGCTTGAAAGAAACCCAGTCTTAAGTGATTTAAATATCTGCCAGCTATGTTCAGAGCAAGAAGATGAGCCGAATGCTGAAACTGTGTCCATCGTTCTCTTTGAGGTGTTCTTCACTCTGCTTGAAAAAAAACAGCTGCATTACTAACTGGTCAGGTGACATTATGTTTAGTCTTAAACTGTTTTCTTCAAGTCCAGCTTTTCAATTGCTTTTCTTCATTGAAGTTGCTTAATACATTTCTAGCCACAGTACATGAAGCAGTAATACAGTTTATGTAAGCTAAATTTAAGGAGGGTTGTTCTCCACAATTTATGTGACGGTTCGGTGGTATTCGTTCTAGCAGAAGTACAATGCAAACCATTTTCTTCTGAATACCTGGTGAAAATACCATCTGTGTAGGAGTTGTGCTGTAGTTGTGATTGTTTTGGAAACGTGTGAGGGGCGAGGATTTTTGCAGGCGATATCTTGTATTGGTCCAACTGCATGGTTGGGATACATTTAGACCATGGTTGGTCCAATAAAAGATATCACTCACAAAAGCTTTGCCTCTGGTAAAAAGTTCTGATTGAGCAGATGCTCAGAATGTCACGTTTGTCTGGTGTTTTATTAAACATTAGCTAACCTGAGGAGACTTGACATGGTGATGCTGATCGGAGAAATTAATTCCTGAATTTTTGTGCTTTATCTGTATTCATTATTATTTTATTTTGACTGGCAAATTGTTTACTCTCTTTCATAGCTTTGGTTGAATTAATTTGCCTTGTTTTTTATTTTTCTGTCCTTTTTTTTTTTTTTTTTTTAATCCTGCAGCAGACCTAATCAAAGCAATTCAGTGTGTTACTTATGAATATTAGAGTGGCAGTTTGAAAATGTTTAATATGTTGTAGTAACTTCTATGTCATTTTCTAATTGTATAAATTGAAAACTTTACTCTGTGTTGGAAAAGTTTTGTGTTAGTCTTCTGTTTTTGTAATCATTCCAAAGCTTTTCCATCCTACTCCAGTGATCCCACATCATGAACACTGTTCACACAGCTGGGGCAGTTCTATGGTTCATGGAGAATTTTTCCAAGCTACCCCTTGATTGGCTTGAAAGGATGCACTTCAGTAATGTTCTTAATGACCTTAAGGAATGAGCTTGGATCCTAATGAAAAGTACTAAATTGCTACAGTAGCCCATAGTTTGCTTCCATAATTCACTCACTCCTTTTAAGATCTTAAAATTATTGTTAGCAAGTGGCTGAAGAAAGAAATGGATGAGGTTGTTAGCAAAGTTGACTTTGATCATTTAATGTGACATTTTCATTTAATGACAAATTTAACTGCAAAGTTTTGTGGGATCCAACTGGAGTGTTCTTCACATTCTGTTTATATGCTTTCAGGAGACATTGGGCATGTACTTACCGGCTTTTCATCAGTGGAGGAACTCTGGTGATGTTTTCAAAATGATTTTAAGCATTTTTCCCCTCTTTCCTTCAGGTTCCTGTTGCATGCAAATCGTGCCCTTGTGGCTACATATTTATTAGTCGAAAGCTCTTGCACGCTAAACGTGCCGAAAAATCGCCTCCCACTGCAGGTAAAAATTACTGGGGAGGGTTTCCTCTCCTGTTTCTATTTTGGGGAAAAATTGAGATCAGTTGACCTTCTGTATACAAATTGTGACTCTTATCCATTCTTTCTTTTAAATTGTGCAAGTAATGCAAGTTAATCTTTTACAAACCCTGAAAAACAAAAGCTGCTGTGTCTGCAGCCTTACTTCTTTTGTGTGTGTGTGCTGTTGACATTTATTCATTGTTTCCTTCAGCTGCCTACCTTAATCATCATGCAAATATAACTCCCTACAGAAAGCATTCTGTTAATCCTGTTTTGAAGATAAATAGCTAAAGTTGGAAAGAATCAGTTTTCAGAGCACTTGCTAATAGTTTTTTTTCCCCCAACAGCAAAAAATATCTTTGTTTTTGAAAAAGATATACTGAATTTATTTTTATAAGATCTGTGGTGTTTATATAAGATACCAAGCTTAAATCTAAGTATTTTTTTCCTTAAAATGTGTTAAAAGTGAAAATACCAAATTATTTTCCCTTCAAATTCTGTTGATTACACAACAAAGGAGAGTCCATTGGATTTGCTTTTTAGCATGATTTATGTGCTCCCTTATGTTATGTATCGGCTCCTCTGGCAGCAACAATGCAATGGTCAAAATGAATATTGAAACAGAATAATCTGATTTAGCTATTACATTACTATATATTCTATTGATCTATTGGATTGCTTCAAATTGTAACAATAATAATTTATTCAGTTTCATGTTGGTTTAAAGAGAACTTCAGCAAAAAGTTTTAGGATTTGTTCACAGACTCATCCACTTTTAGGAGTGTGCGATGCTGGCTGTGTGTGAATGTTGCAGGCTGGAGAAGGTTGGGGATTTTTTTATTTTAAGGTTTGGTCAGTGTTTTTCTGTTTTATTTAATGGTTCATAATTCAAACTAGGTACCAGCCCAGTTAAGCTGTATTCTGACCATACAAGGACCATACAAGTTACATCCTATGTCTTCCTTAGAGGGCAGTTACTGATTTTACCCCAGTGAAGGAAATGGTGTAAAAAAGTTGTGGAACTGAAGTCCACTTCATGATAGAGTAGACTGGGCTCTTAACCATGGTTGGCAGCTAGTCTAGGAGTGAATCCCCGATACAGACAAACGGATGATCTTTGCTCCGGCAGCTCCTGCAGCCAAGCTGGTTCCAAACATACTGGCCTTTCCTTTGGATTAAACCAGCAAGGTTGAAAGGGGGACACTAGTGTGTGAACAGCTCATTGTTTCCGTATATGCTGGCCAGGCTTTTGAACACTGGAGAGGTTACTTCATCTTTACTTTACTTTCAAGAGAAGTTGTAATTCTGTTGTCTCTTGAGACAGACAGATGCCTACTACTACTATTACCAGGTAAAGGTAGTGACTTTCAGGTCACTGGAACTGATCATTATCAGGAACATTTGGAAACTGGGCTTTCTTGCCTGTTATGGAAAATAAGTATTTGTGCACTGCATGCTAATTTATTTTACAGTTTTGTTTTAAAGTGCTAAATGCATTTAATAGGAACAAAGACCTCCTCTTTGTGATCAGTAAGTGTGGGGTACTTGTCAACCTTTGCCTGAAATGAGTTGTTCAGCCTTGTAGCCCTGTGTTGCCCAGCTGGTGGCCCACAAGGAATTAATCTGTGGTTTCTGGGCTTCCATCTGGCTGTGGCTACAGCAGCTTGAAGGAGCCCCAAGCTGGGTGCATTGTGGAGACGAGGGGCACCCACATGAATGCGCAGTGGAGCAGCAGCTTAGGCACATGGGAAGGGAGTCCTTGACTTGCACTGTTGTGGCCTGTGTGGGGTGCGTGGCCCCCTACCCCTGGTGTGGCTTCCACAAGGTTTGGCCCCTGGTTTCATTCCCCTTTTTATTGTAATTGTTTAAATCAATGCTGTTTTGCCTTGTTTGCTTGTACTTGGGTCAGTTATAACTTCTTATTTTTTGGACCCTGGAAGAAAGTAGCAATGCTATAAGCAAAAAATACCCTCTGAGATTCTTTATTATATAACTTATATAATGCTAAGTTAGAATTTCTGTATTGCAAGGTAAGAGAATAATAAAAGATGAAGAGCAATTCATCACCTGAACAACCAAACAGTTGATGAATCAATTCAATCAGTGGAAGCTAGTGCTTCAAGATGCGCTTCCAGTGGGAGAGTCCAGGCTCAAAATAACACTCCTTTTTCTATGCTGTTCTTTCTCCACAACTTATGTTATTGGCTTATATATTGACAAATACAGGTAGACTTACGTTAGTAGTGGTAATAGCAGTGATAATTATTATTACTCTTGATACTTGTATATAGAGCCGTAAAAGGGAGCAGAACCCCCAAAATGTTATGTTTAAAACCTCTTCAGCTGTTTGGCTTGGGAGGAGACAGCCATGCCCCCATGCCCCCCCACCATGAGAGAGGAGAGGTTGGGAGGGACAGTGATGTAGGGTACTGACCCTGTGTGTGAGACATGGGAGTGGGTATGTATAGGAGGGAATATAGTGAGAAAAAAAGGTTGAGGGTTTATTATCGAGATAGTGACTAGTGGTTTGGATGTGAATTTGGGTTGAGTAGAGCTTGCGGGCGGCGTTCTTCTGGGTCAGAGGGAAGGAGGTGGGATCGGTGGTGGATTGTTCTGGGATTTGCAGGGTTGGGGGGAAGTTTGTTTCATTGTACTTCTTTATTTTAATATTTTCTTCTGGTTATAAAGCTTTTTTGTCTTTTATTCCCCTGAGCCTTTTATGGGCATGTAAGTCTAATAAATAAATACTTTTATCAAGGATACCTCAAATCCAGTTTTCAGCATCTTAAAACTCTAATACCCTTGCTTCTACAGTTTCCAGTTTAGTTTTCTTAGCTTAACTCTGGCTTCACAAACCCTATACCAAAAATAATTAAAATTTAAAACTTAACTTCTTCTAAAACCTTTCTTGGTTAACAACTGCTCAGTCTTTCCCAGTGGATTTGGTATATATACAGCTGAGTAAGGTGAACTACTGGAGAAGTTGGATATGGCGACAACTAATTTTCTGATTGATCTAAGAAAAGGGGAAAGCTGGGTGGGGCAAGAGCTGAGACTGAATCAAGGATAAAGCCATGAAACCCACCCTAAATTGTACTATCTTTTTATTTGAACAGAGAACAGGAGTGAGGCCAAGAGGAGGCGAACAGAAAGAGTTAAGCGAGAGAAGATAAACTCTGCAGTAAACAAAGACTTAGAAAACAGAAAAAGGTCCAGATCTAACAGCCAGTCGGATCATAGCAGACGGGGAAGAGGAAGACCCAAAACTGCCTCAGCCAAGAAACACGAGGAAGAGAGAGGTATGTGAATTAGAAAATGTGTTTATTGGGGAAAGATGGGGTTTTTTTTGGGGGGGGTTGTTTGTTTTTAGTGGTGGTTTTGTTTTTCATCAACCTTGTTACCCATTTTAAGTAACTGACACTATCTTAGCCAATTTCCAATAAAGTTTTAATCTAAGCGGAAGATAATTTATTTGTCCTGTTCATACCAACAGTTGGTTATTGTTATGCATAGAAAAGCTAACTAATTTCCTTTAAGCAAGCAAGGATTTTTTCAGACGTGCTTTTGATAAGACGGTAGTTGTTCCTATGCTTCTAGCTATAAACTGATTGCTAGGGTCAGAGTGTATGTTCTTCTTTCTGTCTCCATGATGAAATTTTGCATAGTTGACCCCACAAATTCTTTTCTCTGAAGCAGCGGATATAAATCACTCATGGAGGTAGAATATCCAGCTATATCATATTCTTGGTTTCTTTTCTCTTTCTTTTTTTTTTTCTTTTTAATACTGAGATTATATGTTGAGCCTCTTGCAACTAGTTGTTTGGGTTTGTTTTTTTTTCCAGATATGCTCCATGAACAAGCTGTGTTCATGTGGCATTTGCAAAAGAGAAGAATCCTAATCTGTTCCATGAAAGATACTGTAAAGCTACTAAACTAATATTTGTGGTATTTCTGGTGTTTGAGCAGAATTTACATGGAAGTGAATGCATCCATTTTAGGAACAAGAATGCATTTTTCAGCAGTTTGGGGGCGATTGGACTATGACAGCCATTGGATTGCTCTAGTACCCCAATTTCCAGGCTGCTTGTACATGCCATGGGGGTTTAGTTCTCCCTAAATTGAAACAGTGGGTTTTTAAAAACACCGCTTCAATTTAGGGAGAATTAAACTGAACTAAACTCCCATGGTAAGTAAACAAGGGTTGGGGCCTGACCCTTACCTGCCTCTTTGGTGGTGGGGGGCGGAGGGGACGAGCTGCCGGCAGGCCAAGCGGTCCCTGAGCTGCATGGGGGCCCCCCAGGTAGCACCCAACCTGGGTGGTCTGGGGGGGCACAGCAGCTGTGTATGGAAGCACCAGGACCCCACACAGCTCAGGCAGACAGGCTTGGGTGGGGTGGAGATCAGGCTCACCACTTTTTTTTTTTTTTTTTTCTTCAGTGGAGTCTGTCTGCAGGGGCTGCTGCTGGGTCCCACAGCCATAGAGCTGTGCAGGGCCCGCCAAGCCCTGAGCACATTGGCTTTCAGTGCCCTGTGTGCTGTCACACTTTGTTAGGTAGCAAACTAAAACACCTCAGAGTTGTTTTATCTCGCTATGTACCAAAGTCATTTAAAGAAGAATATGCCACTGTGTGTGCAAACAGCAGCACCGTTAAAGCAGTGCAAAAGGGCATTTAAGCCACTTTCAAGGCCAATTTTGTGGCCTGTACAAAGGCCCTTGTACACTTTAATGGCAAACTGACCTAATGTGAATTTCATCAAAGAGCATAATTAATGTAGACAGGATTGTTAAGGGGATTTTTCAAAGCCTCGGGTAGAAGAATGTTAGTTCAGAGCCTTACAAAAATCTTCCCTCCAATCTGTTTCACGATGGAACTGTCATTGTCTTGATTCTTGGAATAGAGACACTGCTACATGCATGTTTTAAGAGGTGAAATGGTTGTTTCCAGCATGTCACTCTGAAGCTCAGTGGCTGTTTGGGGTTACTGTTACTAAGAGCCTTGTTGGCATTTCTTTTGATATTTTTGTTTTTAGAGGATTTTAATTTAGTCAAAAACTTAGTCCTGAAGTTAGACATGCATTTAAAGAGACTTTGGAAAAAAGAAAAAAAATCCCTGTGTACCATAGAACATTCAGAAGAATTTTGCTTAACACTGCTGGTGTATAAAAAATACTACTGGAAGTTTTACTACTCTGGGCTATTTTATGCTGTCATCGTGGAAAAACATCACAGTGAGTTTCTGAAACAAACTCAGTAGGCATTAATCCATATTACATACTAGATCCTTTTTGATGTTGTCAAACTGAAACATTTGAAACTGCTCCCACCAGATTGGCAAAATTATTCATGTATAAGTATGGTTTTTACATTTTAAAAAAATTCAGTCTGAGAAGTGTCAGTTCATATTTTTATTCATATTTGTAGTGTGGGTAATGACTGTTAACATTAACAGTAAGGACAGATTTGTGACCTACTTCCCTGTCTGTTGCATCGGTTTATCACAAAATGAAGATCCACCAACTACGGAGATTTGCTAATTATAATTGGAGCATGCAGGTAAAATCAATCGTGCAATTAATGAATCAGTTCTACATATTTTGGTGCCAAAGACAGTCTGTCTAATTTTAATAGGTTTTGGTTTAAAAATTGGTACAAGCTCTTTTGGTGCATCTACTTTTCCCTCTTTTCTTTAAAAACAAAATAAACAAGAACAACAAAACCCCTTCCAGTAACACCCTACCAAGCAAAACACCTATAGCTTAATGAAAGATCAAATGCTTCAGTGAAAAATAGAACATATCTTTTGGGAAGTAAGAATTTGGAAGCACAAGTGATTGCTTACAAGGGCAGTAACCTGAATATTGAATTTTACGGCATGCTATAATGGCAACTCTTTTGAAGGGGTTTGAGGTAAAGAAGTCAGGGAGTGTGCTGACTGGGGCCTTTGTATAGATGGTGTCATGTTTGCTGTTTTTAATTATTGTCTGGCTAAGTTTAACTCAAGGATAATCAGTACAACTACACCCCTACACAAAGTTATTTATTTTTAAATAACTGGGTGTATGGAGCTGATTATTCACAAAATGAATGAATATGAAGCACTAAACCCATAATTATATATAAAGTTACTATATAAAAAAAAATCAATTTCTTCTTGTTACTTTTTTTTAATTATTGTAAAAATGATGCAACTACTATGTGCAAAGACGTTTTTAAAAAACTAAAAACTGATTTTGAGGCCTGCCCTTTGCTTATAGTCATGCTCAAAAACTTTGATAATCACCCTAATTGTAGTAATTGTTGTAGTGAAAGTCATGTTACACACAGCTTTGTGGATTGTTTAAAGCTTGATCCAGATATGTTAAACATTGTTTTGAAGCTAGAAATCCATTTACTATTCCTTTGCCTTACATATACAATGTTTGTAGTGCACTGGTATTCTGAATGCAGCTTGCCTGCCATTCAAGACTGAGCTTACTATGTCCTTTTCTGCCGGGGTCTCAAAGGTAACTGAATTCATTTGTATAATTATCAGATCTTGACAGATGTCTGGCACTCATTTGGTTTCTGAAATATACTGCTTATTAGGGGTGCACCAATAAAGATTTTTTTTGGGCCAATACCAATGGCCGATTTTATTAACCAGTCATATCTGCTGACATGCAGCCTGGCAGCTTGGAGAGCAGCATCTGGACGTTAAGTCTGTTGGGAGAGGGTGTGGGCAAGGGGAGCAGATTGAGGCCCCCATGGTGAGGGAAGGATTAGAGCAGGGACAGGTGCTGTCCAGCTAGGGTGGGGCACAGGACTGAGCTGTGGCTCGTCCGGTGGTGGGGTGGCTCCCACTGCAGCACGCAACCCTAGGGTGGGGGGGGGCCCCCCAGTCTTTGTGTGGGGTGAGGGTGGGATGCTGCTGTGTGCTTGGGGATGGGGGTTGCAGCTGGTCTCTACCCAGCCGGGAGGGCTGGACCAGGGTAGGATGGATAGTAGCAGCTCTGGGAGGAGGGGCTATGGGTGAGCTACAGCCACCCCAAAATCTGCTGTAGCTTCCCTTCCTGGCGCAGCCCTGGCCCTGAACGCCCAGTAGTAGCTCACCCTTTCCCTGTGCACAGATCTGGGGGGCGGATGTCCCCCATACCTCCTCTGGTGGTGCATGCAGCAGTGGGACCGCCCCCCCATACTCTCCGGATGAGCCACAGCTCTGTCCCGCGCCCCGCCCTGTCCCGGCTGTGCAGCCCTTGCCGCACTCCTTCCCACACTGCAGGGGCTTCGATCTGCCCCCACCCTTCCCCCTCAAAAAAACCCCCCAAACTTACTGGCTGATGCTGCTCTCCAACCTGCCGGGCTGCATTCCTGGCTCTGTACGTGCTGCAGCTGTGTGCATGCACGCGACACTTACCAGCGACGTTATCGGCCATAAAAAGCCAATTGATGTTAATGTCAATTTTCCTTTTATTGGTGCCAAAACGATATGGACCAATGTATTGGTTCACCTCTACTGCTTATTATTAAATAATGTCACATGGTCAGAACCTGAAATTCATAGTGTGCCAGAGAAAGTACTCTGTCTTCTTGTAGAACACTTGATTATGAAAAGTACCTGTTTGGAGAGACGTTTTACTTCAGCAGCTCTGCTTCTCCATTCTGTGCTCTTTTTGTGCCTTTCCCTTTTCACATCCAATGGGCCTCCTTCCATGCTGTTCTGTTCTGTTAGTTTCTTTTTCTTTGTGACTTGGGCAAAATTAAATTAAGTGCTGAGGAGGTGAACTGACTATTGCAAGAGGGAATGAAGGAGCAAAGGCAGAGAAGAAATGATGGGGAAACAAAGGCTTTATCATAAAATAATAAAAAAGAAGTAAAGTTTGTGAGGAATTAGGTGAGAGAGGATTTAAAGCAGAGTGTATGCAACAGGGAGCTGGTTCTTGCACATTATCCAGTGTGCTTGTTATGGTTCTTGAAAACTTGGGGCTGTAGTTGCAGGTTTAGTTAGGCAGAATGTTTGTTTTTTTTATTTTGTTTTGTTGGTCAGAACATGTTGATTTATTGAAATAAAAAAATCATGGGAATATGATTTTGATTTAAGTCAGGTTTTTTTCCATTGCCTGTCCAGTTCCATGGTAGCCTGGTCTTCCAAGCTCCCAGCCCTCCGGGCTGTCTGCACCCAAGTCTGGTCCCAGACATTGGGATGCTGGGAAAGTTTTACTGAAATGTTTCTGAAGTTGAATATATTTTTAGTTAAGTAAGCTTCTGTTTGGACAGCAACAAACTTTCTGTAAGATGCCAGAAATGAGTAGAAATAGTAGTGCTCCTTTGTAGAGAAGTCTCAAATATTAGTAAGAGAAGTCTGAGTCAAAACAGCCTTCAGATAGAATGGTGAAAGAAGGTTTTTAGTAGGATTTGGTAGTTTCTGCACTAGAGGCTATGAATAGCTTCTGGTAAAACATTAACCAACAGTAAATTGTGCAGTAGTTACACTGGAGAGGATGAAGTTGCTTAAGGATTCTGGTAGTTTATAGATTTTGTTCAGTGATCACTATTTCACATCAGTGTTTTCTGACTGTCTGTTTTCAATCTATTCTTTAAGGCTGACGTTCCACTTTAAGGCTTTTTCTCCTCCTTCTTTCTTCCCCTTCTGGGGGAAAAAAATCTTGAAAAAACATGTTTTGTTCCTGCTAAGAAATCGAGCATGCTAGTGGACTGATGATGATAACTTCACAAAAATGTATTTTGTTTAATTCTGACTTCAAGTAGGGTGTTCATGGTGAAGTGAGAATAGTGCCATAGAAAAATTATCCTTCTTGCACAGCTAGGTCAAAAGGTGTTGGATCAGGGGCTCAGAAGTTTCCCTAAAATTGCTGACTTCTGGATGAAGCTTGGCTGTTTGGCTTAAGTAGCTCTTTGTGGGGGAGGGGGAGGGGGGTTAGGAGGGGCAGGGAAGATGCTTAGCAAGAAAGTGCCAAGTGGTTCCTGTATGCTAATTACTATAGTGCTTACTCTTGAAATGTTTCACTATGCATACTGAGATTTTATTTATTTATTTATTTATTTTTAAGGGGGAAGGAAGGCTAAGGGAGGTAAAATGGCTACTCTACAGCAGCATGGAGTATTACAGCCATGGGGTACAAGCTGGGTTCTTGGCTTCCTACTCTGGGTTCCACTAGTAGACAGCATTGCCTTTGCTTCATGTGGGGCCCAGCAGATGTGACTTGGCTATTGAATATTTGCTATTGGGAATGTGATATTCAATATCAGGCTATCCTTGAAAACGGTCTGTGCTAATTCAAGCTTCTTTCTCTTTCCTCCTTTCTTCACCTCTGAATGTCATGCTACAATCTTCACACAGGTGAAGATGAAAGATTCCCTCTACTTGGTGATGAAGTACAGCATTAGTACTCCCTCTTATTCCCTTCCTTACCCTTTCTTGTTCCCCAGTCACTATTGGCTCAGTTATGTAGGCTGGCCTAGGGGAAGCTTTGCAGAGGCTGCTTCTACCAAGAATGCCCTGTGTGTATGTTGTTGGGATGGAGGTATCGGCAGTGAGCAGGAACACTTTAATTGGCTACGTAGATTATAGTATGAGAATAGTGTTAGAGCAAGTTCCACAGCTATCTAGGGATGAACCCTGAACTGTTCAGTTATGCCCCCCACAAACCACTTTTCCTGCTCTGGGCTGAGAGGACTGGTAGGGGTGATGGAAACAGGTGGGTACTACAAGAACCTGAAAAGAACACTAATCCTAATTTCAGTAGTTGTGGGTTTTGCCCTTGGCTCTGCCTGTAACCTGCTATATGATCTTGGGAAACTTCCTTAACTTTTAAGTGTATCAGTCTCCTACCTATAGGGCGCATTTTGGGAAGCTTCCTACCTATGGGACTTCCTTGGGGAAGTACTAAAGCATGGTGCAGTAACTGCCCATACTGTGCTGTACACATGGCGCACGGTTATTTTTAGCAGCTACTTTGCTGTAGTGGTGTACTACAATGGAGGAGTGTGCCGCTATAGCAAAGTAGCTGTTGTCCACATGTAGACACCCATGAACAGTACGTCACCATAGTGCATCGCTACAGCATCGTAGTGTCACGTGTAGATACCTCCATGAAGTAGGGAAAATATCCTTGTATTTTGGGGTGTTGCAGTGAATCCTTGAATTGAAAAGTTTTTGGGGGGAGGGGGGTTGGGGGGTTTTTTGTTGTCTTGTTTTTAAGCAAAAATGTGTTTTTATTTGGTGGAAGAAGCCTAAAGTAACATTGAATACTGGTCTGGATGTGTCAGAAATTAATAAAATATTGGAATAAGTCATCATTCCTTTGTCAATGAAAGCTAAGGATTTGAGTCATGTTTTCAGATAACTGATTACAGTGATTCTCTTTCTTCTTAAATGGAGCAGATTGTCTTCAGTTCCCCTTTTCAGTTTTAATTAACTGTCCCACATTATAATTACCATCTGCATAACTAATTAACGTCTGCATTTGCTGTAAAAAGCTTTTGTTAATGGTGACTTCTCTTCTTCTACAGAAAAACAGGAAAAAGAAGTTGACATGTATGCTAACCTTTCAGATGAAAAGGCTTTCGTGTTTTCAGTGGCGTTGGCGGAAATAAACAGAAAAATTATCAATCAGAGACTTATTCTGTAATTCGTCAGCACAATTGGATGCATTTGTATGCAAGATGACTAGCATATTTCCAAGGTGTCGTGGACTCTCAGGAAGCATGTTGTCTGTGTCGACAAGGACCAAAGTTTTCCCTGTTAAAACTGTGCTGCTGTTTTAAAGCTCAGATTTTTGGGTATCTACGACATAAAGAAGAAATGTCAAGCTTTTGTTCTGAAAATCAGAAAGCAAAAATGCTTTATGCCTTGAAGACTAAAGGTAGACAAATGCACAGAGAGAATGCACCCTTTCCAGAGCACTTCAATATTTGTTGCCAGACATGCAATATTTTAAATTTCAGAAAAATGATTTTTCTTTTAAAACAAAATATATTTCAGATTTTTCAATTATATTACAGTTTACACATGTACAGTTCTAACGTTTTAATAAATTGGTATTCTATTATTGAACTGCGAATTAATTGCATTTATAACATTAAAGTTATTTTGGTTTGATTCCTTTCGATTCAATATTGGTATGCATCCGAGAACTTTTTTGGGTGGTTATTTTTATCACTTTTTTTTTAGTTCATTTAATAGCTATGACCCTAAAATAGTTAGTTAGTTTGCAGCTGGTAGCTGCTTGTTACATTAGCATTCCACCCCCTGCCCCCACACACTTGATGATTTTCCTGTCACCTGTGGATAGAGAACATAGATATTCTGTGGTATAGACATGCCACTAGATTTTCCTGTGGACCTAAAGACAGTGGGACTAGAAGGGACTTCAGGAGGTTACCTAGTCCACCTGCTCAAGGTAGGATCATCCCTTACTCTGCAGAGCCAATGAATAGAGACACCATATCTTAATCTGCTGCTTATTGCCAAAGTTCAAATTATCTTTTTGTAGGCAGTCTTCCAGATGTTCAGTTTCTGGTCAGTGTTCTCATAAATATTTAAGATAGAGTTTAGCTGACTCTCTAGAAATAAGTAAGCTTGTCAAACAGATTTAGGGAAAACATCCTAATTATAGATGTAATCTTTAACTAGGAACATAGATTGTTTAATTGAAGAACTACAGTGCATCTAGTCACTGAGATTGTACATTAATAAGTATGTCTAAAATGAAAACTACCATATTTACGTGAATTAAAAGCATCTCTGAATTTTAGACAACCCTCCAATTATTAGATTCTAGACCAGAAAAATTTTATAAATGGGCTGAAGCTGCAAGATAGGGCTTTTTATCCCATGTTAAATGCGGGGGAAACCTTGTCTTGGATTCAAGTAAATACTGTAATTAAATGGACTCTCTTACTACTGATAATCTCTGTAAAAAAACAAAACAAAAAAACTGTATATAAAGTGACATTAAGCCTTTATTTCCTTTTTCCTCATTGCTAGGGACTTACCTAAGTCATGGTGAGTTTCACAACCCACTTACAGAGCGCAGAGCTGACTTTTTTTTGCAGGCATTTTACAGTGGCCCTATCCCTTGCTACTGATTGGTGGAGGGCACCTTCACTCAGTTTATCTCACTACCGCTTATTTGGTTGATTTTTGAGGGAAATTGCAGCCACCGCCAGATTTTGCGGGAAATCATGAAATCCATGAAACCATAATTTAGGTAGGTCCCTACTCGCTGCTTTCCAAGGTAAGACTATTTTAAATGGAAACAGTCAGCTATCACAGACTTCCTTTAGTATTTTAAGTTGTTGAAAAAGCCTTGTTCAAATGCTTTTGAAGATTTCATCATAGCCATAATAATGTAGATTTAATTACTGAGGCCTGGATGCAGGGATGACCAATGGATGGAAAGACTTATTTGCAGTCCAGAAATTGCTGAATTTTTTAATATAGGTAAACAATTAAATGGTAAAGGTTATGTTAATGTTGGGTCTGTTAAACCATGGTGGGTAGGGGTGTGTGGGAAATTTTATACCATTTAGCTTGATTGGTAGCTTGCTTATTTTACTTTTTAAAGGTGGTGAGTATGTGTAGAAATACTTAAACCACTCATCTATAGAATCTTTGTTTTGTTTAATATAGTAAATGGGGAGTTTCAATCACAAGACGATACTTCCTCAAGTAGGGCACAAATCTGTTTTCACAAACTATATTTGGTCATTGATAATGAGTAGTAGGCAGACACAGAGGACAGTGTTCCAGGTATTAATACAACCTCTGGTTTGTGTTGGTAGGTGAATAAACTTGGAATGGACAAGTGGGGGCAACAGAGTTCTAAGCAATTGTAATGTTTAAATTGTGCCTTCTAGTGTTCGAGCACTAATGAGTATTCTTCAGCTCTGGACTTGCACCATCCCCTTTTTATATTCCTACTTGCGGGTTGCCCATCAAGAATGATGAATGAATTTTGAATAACAAAAACAAAGGCCACTGGCCTCATCCCTCCCACTTGGTCCTTGCTCTGCCTCCAAGGAGCAGGCCTGGGGGGAGGGAGGGAGTGAGGCTGGTGATGCTGGCCTCCTCCCTGCTCTGTCCCTGCTGTCATGGTGGTGCTCCACTGCGCTGCCGCCTCCTGTCCGTAACGCCCTTGGAGCACTCTGATTGTTTCAGTAACCAATCGGGGTGCTCCAAGAGCTAGTTTCATAGTTTCGTAATAGCTAGGGTCAGGAGGGACCTGAACAGATCATCTAGCCTGACCCCCTACCATAGGCAGAAGTGAATGCTGGGTTCACAAGACCCCAGACAGGTGATCGTCCAACCTCCTCTTGAATATGCCCATGGTAGGGGCGAGGACCACTTCCCTGGGAAGCGTTATGGACAGACGGACTAAGCCCTTTATTATATGAGAATACTAAAACCTTAATTCCTTAAAACTTGATAGCATCTACCTCCTACTTCCCTGGTTCTTTTCAGCTGTCAGTTCTTCCCTATATTTAACCTGCCTTATTCACGTAACTTTTTTTTCCCCTGCTGACCCTTACCCTCTATGGAAGGTTTAATAACGAGCTGCAGAGGTATATGGACTTTACTGAGTAAACCAGTTAAGGAGGCTTGTTTCTACCAATGGATTGTACTCATTTCTCCAAGTCCCAATTTATTCTCTTCCCACCCGTTGGAAACTGTCTAGTCTTCCCTATGTAGACTGAGCACGTTAGCAGTTTAAAAAAACCCAGCTAACTCTGTATTAAATTTTCTAAAGATTAAACATTTTACTTTTCAAAAGACTTTTTTTTTTTTTTAAATGTAGCTGATTTTGGAGATTTGGATTAAGTAAAACGCATTTATACTTTTGAGTCAAAATTTCACTGTTCTGCTTCTCTTTTCTTTCTCCCCCCTGCACCCCTTTATTTGTACAGAAGAGGACAGCAAAATCTAACGGGCCTTTAGTATAAAGGAATGCATTTTAGAATACCCTGGAATGTAGATGCATTGAAGTAATATACAAAATAGTCAATTAAAGCTAGTGACAGCTGAGTGGTGAGAGAGAGAAGAAAAATGTTTCATGTCTTGTAGAACGTAGCTGTGTCTGTTTAATATAACTTGTGAATTCATTAGAAACACAATGTTTTCAAAGAAGCAGGACTGTAATATGAGACACTTTAAAAAAAACTGTTTTCTAATCTGCCCACATCTAATTTCAGTGTAGTAATCTAAGACCTCCCATGGTATTTGGCACAGGGGCTGAAAATATTTAGATAAATGTTTTTCTTCCATTCTTTTGTGATTGCCATGTTAGCTTTGTATTGTATGTAAAACATTTGCATCCTTTCAGGTGAAAGTAAATGGAAGTTAGACTGCAAATACCATCTAAAATAACTAGAAACAGTTCTGGATGCAGCATTCTTAAAATTGATATAAGATCTTTGCAGTTCAATATATTTTGCCTTTCGTAATCTACAGGTACCAGCAGTTGAACAGAAAATTAATTTTCCCTTCAGCTTATTTAGAACAGATGGAAACCATATTTTTAATCCTGTCTGATGTATGGCTGTGTTTTCTGGAGTGAAAGGGTCTGGAATCTTAGCAACTGAATTATTCATCTAGCATTGTTGCCTTAGCAGCATTGTGAGGATTTGTGAAAGGAGCATTTCAGGTTTTCCTTTTTTCTTTTTCTCTCTCTTTTTTTTTTTTTATTCCACAATTTAAATTTATTTATAATGCTTTTTTTTAGATGTATGTCCTGTCCTACTGTCACACATGTGATTTTGATTTTTATTGTTTGGAAGAGCAAGGGTACTAATGTGTGTCCTAAAATTGACTCTGGCAGTGCCACAATACTTCTAATACATTATCATTAGGGATCTACCCTACTTGCGACTTCTAAAAAATAAAATGCTGGCTCTGCAGTGTGAGCCAGTGGTCCTCGGGGGAGGGGACACTATAGCCTGGCCTTGCAGCTCACTGGGCAGGGAGGGGAGCTGCTGGCATGAAGGGGAGCAACAAAAATGGCAGTTGCCCTTTGCTGCTGATTGGCTGAGCAAGCTGCCCATTGTACATCCCTCTTGGCTGATCAATGGTGAGGGGGAGGAACATGGTGAAAAGAACACGAAAATGGCATCACAAGTGGCCGGTGACTTTTTCCCTTGCCTCAGC